TTAAACTTCAACCGCTGTCTAAGGTCTGTGAATAATCGATTATAAATTATAATAATCGATCATATTATCTCATTTTTGTAATCTCGCTCAAGCGACATTTACATCGCTCGAGCGAAGCGACATGATAAGAATGGGGATTCTCGGGTTGTTTTTCGCTTGAGCGACTATAGTCTCGCTCGAGCGATAGATGATTCAAACATGTGGTCACCCATGTTACATTATGCGGCTAACTTTGATCGACGTTTAGCCCAAGGTCAAAATTCGCTCAAGCGATATTGAAAGCGCTCGAGCGACACAACCTGCAAAAAATTGTTGTCAAAGTGATCGATCATATAACACTTATAATCGATCATATACCACATATGATAGCGGGTCCAAGTTAACCGCTATCTAAGACCTAATTTTAATAGCGGTTACTTTGAGAACCGCTCTCTTTAGTGTGTTTAGATAGCGGTTCTGGGAACCGCTATCTAAAGTCCCAATATAAAAAAAAATTATTTAAATTTGGAAATGCCAGAACTATTTAAATATTATTGGTTTGTTATATACTGAAATGTCTACAATTAGGTTTGCTTTTTTTGAAGGTAGTATTTTAATATTATTTTAATATAGAACCGATGATTGTTACGTAAATGTATGGACCATCAACTGCTTATAAATGCATTGAAGACATTAAAATTGCTGTTACATTGTTATATTTACATCCACTGCTTATAAATGCATTGAAGAAATTAAAATTGCTGTTACATTGTTATATTTACATCCACTGCTTATAAATGCATTGAAGAAATTAAAATTGCTGTTACATTGTTATATTTACATCCACAACTCTTACAGGATCAGAATATATAGTCTACACTACTGTTGCATGTCTATGTCCTATCATATATACTCTAACAAAATCAGAATGTATAGTCTACACTGCTATGGCACGTCTATGTCCTATCATATATACTCTAACAAAATCATAATGTATAGTCTACACTACTGATGACGTTATCCAGCCAACAAGACATTGAATAAAAAAAAACACTCGTCAATCAACATGTGCAGTTGAATGTCATGGAAACGTCACTAAGTTAGTTGTGGTCTAAATAACACTGCAAAATTCTATGTTGTAGATATTAACACTTATGTCCTGCAAGTTGAAGAAGAAATCATTAGTATACATCAACGTAATGCAATTCTAAACTAATGTAATATTCATTGTTGACAAAGTATTTTATTAAGAAAACAATGTTTCCAAACCATTTAGTTGAGGAAGACAATTGTGTGCCGTCAACATTACTGTCAAGTGATGTCAACAACGACACAAAACCAGAGGTACCCAATGTTGATGGCTGCAAAGGGCAACAATTACATGAGTTTTGACATATGACTTTACTGCCATTTTACATAACATATACTGCATAAACAGTATATCAAGCCCACAAATAAATTCAAATGAATTGCATATCACACTTTAAATAAAGCAAATTCAATTCAACTATCACTATAACATGAAATAAATTTCATTTTTGACACACACCAATCCAGATGACCGATAATCAACATGAGTTTCTATGTGAAGGGTTGAGTTTAATAACTCGGGCGAAGTTCCTTCAGTGTTCCCCTGTAATGACGAAGATAAGATATTAATAAACTTATGAAATCATCCAATACAAAATAACATGACAGTTGTGGATATAATACTTACAATATTTGTGGTGCACGTGTGCTGGCCTTTATTTTGTAACCTTCGCGTTGCCATTTTTTCACTTGTTGACACCTTTCGGAGTGAACGTGGTCTTCCTTTCCTTTTAACATGCAACGGGCTACGAATGTCAATGGCAACGTTGTCAACATATAAGCTTTGTGAATCTGTAGGAGTATTACTTTCGCGAGATATTGGTATCTATTTCAGTTTGAGAACGTTCGAGCAGTATGTGTTGGAGCAAATTTACTCATCATTTCATGCAACATGTCCGTCCGCTCAATTGACTCGATGCAACTTCAGCAATCTCATAAAATCTTTTGCACAAGTCATCGTATCGTACAATCTGCGGTTGCCTCTCCTTGACATTGTAGGTGGTTTTCATATAAGTATGCTTCCTTCTCACATTTTTACTCAATCTACTTAAAATGTATTTGCAGGGAATCTTTTTAACCCTTTGTTGAGGAAGGATGACCAAACAATGTCGGCAAAGAATACCTTTGAATTCAAATAGCAAGCACGTGCAACTGACATTTTGGTCATCACGGTTGAAACTTACCCTGTACAGGTGTTCTTTAGAATCTTCACCGCAAATACGTTCTTCCATAACGTCATAAAACCAAGCAGATCCAAGGCAAGACACATGCACAACACTGCAATTAATTTTTCCTCTAAATTCTGCTTGAACCTCTGCAAATTTTGCATGTGTGTACTCCGACTGAAATTGCCTCTCTATCAAAGACTGTGATCCACAATTAATAATTGTATGCATGGATGCAAAATCAGCTTCATATTCCTTCTCAGCCTTGTCTTGTAAGACATTTTCATACTGCTTGACAAATTGTTGGAGGGATGTCATCGAGTTGATATATCCATCAAAAAATGCATTCATACTTTCACTTCGTTGTGTAGTTGACATCCCAGCCCAAAATTGGTTTTTCAAAAAGCATGGAACCCATCTCTGTTTCTCTTGGAAAAGGCTATTCAACCACTCATTGTCTTGTAAGCCAAAATCGATATGAAATTAGCCCATTTGGATGTGAATTCGGATATGGTGGAAGACTCATAAACAACCTCCTTCATAGCATACTTCATATTTTTATATTCCGTATAACCTTTCAACTTTTCTGGAATTTTTTTCATTATATGCCATAGACACCACCTATGACGGGCTTCGGAAAAACTATCTCGAATGGCATTTTGCATTGCCTTGCACTGGTTAGTGATAATACCCGTAGGAGCCTTCAATGACATGCAACGTAACCATGATTCAAATAACCAAATAAAAGAAGTGGTGTCTTCACTTGATAACAACCCACACCCTAACAATATGGAGTGTCCATGATGATTTACACCCACAAATGGCGCAAACGGCATGTCATATTTATTGGTCAAGTATGTTGTATCAAATGAAACAACATCGCCAAAGTATTCACAAGCCGCCCTACTTCTAGCGTCAGCCCAGAAAACATTTTTGACCCGATTATCATCATCCAAGTCTATATCAAAATAGAAATCCTTGTTTAAGTCCCTCATTTGTGAAAAATAATTCAATAGAGCTTTCCCGTCACCTTCTTTTCCTAGTGCACGTCTTTGTCTATTGACATAGTTGCGTACATCTCGTTCCACAAATTGGAGGTTTTCATAACCTCCTGCACTATTAACAACTGACCGAAAGCTTTTATTGATCCTCACGCCTGCATCATCATTTATGTCTAGAGTCCTCTTCACATGCAAACTAATGTTCCTATTGCTTCGAAACATTCTGGATTTCTTTGGGCTAAGAGAATGTGAATGTTCATCATTTATCGACATAATATACCATAGTCCTTCCTTTAATCCAACTCGTTATCCATGCAGGACATGAATTTGTTTTGGTGGGTTGGGTCCTAATTTCGATGAGGTGTAGCGAAACATACTTCCCGACCCTTGCACACACCAACATGAAGTACCGCAATTGGTTATCGGGCCCCTTCTTTGAACTCCTTGTTTTGATGCCAATTCCTTTTTGTATGGCATATTGTCGATAAAATGATTTAACTGCATCTGCAGTTTCAAAAGACATTCCTACACATGGAACAGAACCGTCGTATTCTGTTGTAGTCCTCACATCTGCGTCAGGAGATCCTTCATCATGGCCAACCAACACTTCTTCTTCATGTAAACTTGTGGCATCTCGCATTCTGGGTATTTTATCATGTACACCTATCATTTCTTGGTCTACACCTTTGAGAGGATCATCACATTGTTGTACATCCGCATCACTACCTATGTCATCATACACGGCCAAAATGCCTTCATTGACAGCTACATCTCTGTTTTCATTTATATCTCCCATGCTAGATAAACGATGAAGGATACAATTCCTACCATTGCCAACAATATAATAGCAAGTTATATAAGTTCGGAACTTGGACACGAAAATAGTCAATGTAAATGTTCAATCGTTTATCTACCCAAAAAACACAATTTTAGATCACAATGTAGACAAACTCTAAACCCTAAAAATATATAATGCACTAACTCTCAATAAGCGCGGCCTACAACAACAATGGCGAATGGAGACTGGAACGCGAACTTCGCGACACACAAATATATTACAATGTAATATGCTTCAATGTGAGCAAGAGAATCAGAAAGATTGAAAATACAAAGAACGTACCTTAAGCTTAATAGAAGACGCAGACAGCGAGAATGAGAGCGCAGAGAGCGAGAATGAGAGCGTAGAGAGCGGCAAAAAAACCCAGTCAGAAAGAGCGCGAGGTTGAAGAAAGTAGGAGGGAAGAATGAAAAAGAATATGACTTTAGATAGCGGTTCACTCCTAACCGCTCTTTAAAAGTATCACATTAGATAGCGGTTACTTCTGAACCGCTAACACAACATACTTTAGTGAGCGGTTCACTCACAAACCGCTATAGTATATGTCTTTTTAAAAGCGGTTGTTATTAACCGCTATCTAAAGTGTCGTCGCTCAAGCGAAATTTACATCGCTCGAGCGACGCTACCTGCCACAACTCTTTGCCTTTAATATTTTTTTATTCGATAACACTGCATTTAATATTTTTTATTCAGTTGTCGAATGGATGTTTAAAATCGGTTGTCAAAATATCAGTACTCTTCTATGTAAGTTTTCTTCTTATTAACGGACACAACTTTTACACAGTATCATAGATACTATTGGTGATTTTTTCCAATCAAATATATTAAATATTTAATGAAACTCTGCATATGATTGGATAAAAAGTACAACAGACTGACAAAATAGGAAATTAACATTTGAAGTATTACTAATAGAGTATTGCTAAAATGGTCTACTTGTTAGGAAATATTACTTGTTGGAAATGGTTATCTTAAATATTCTGTGATACACAGGCTGTTTACACCGGCGTGGACCTTGAACATGCTATTCAAAGGTGATTGTTGCAAATGTAAAGAATACCTGTAATTTTTTATCTTGTTTGATTCTTACATGAAAGACATTGGACTTGTAATACAAAATCTTGATTTTTCTTCCTGATCTTCCAGGATGGCAACATTGCAAGTGCAATTAAACATAGTTCGGGTTTGTCATTGAAACTGCTGGTAAAGAGTTTCTTTATAGGCATTTCTAGTGAACTTATGCTTGGAAGGTCTTCATCATGTAGATATTAGTCCTGCAGATAAAATATGAGAAGTATATTGCATTTATTGATTGTGCTTATTTATACCCGCAGGAAAATCTGAATTTTGTCAAATAACATTTTGGTGACAACAATATTAGCCCACTAATGGAGGTTGGTTTGCTTAAATTTGACGCAAAATATAACTTTTGCATGTGACTGTCCTTGAACACGTGAAAATTATTTTTCTCAGAAGTTATTGGAATCACGCATTGAGCTTCGCCCTGTTCTGCAAACATCTCATAAAAGATTGAAAGATATGATTTTCCTTGATATTTCTTTGGATTCTGCTCTTGGAACCACTGCGGAAAAGGGATTAAAGAATGTGAACTTTGCAAACCCATTGGTAACGATACTTCGTACCTAAAATTATTATTTTGTAAGGAGTATTGTTTTCAAAGGACCCTGACTTTTCCCCCGCTTCGAATTGACAACAGGAAGTATTGTCTTTGTTTTCTTTGATGCTTGAGAATCTTTGCTTATCAACTGTCAACAATGAAGACTACACATACTGCACAAAGGTACGGACCACATTTTCCATAGGGCTTTTTATCTCTTCCTTCGAGCTAGAAGAAGGAATCGATAAGAAAATATCAACAATAAACGGGACAGCTCACAATGTTCATATTTATTTATTATAGGCCTTTGCATTTAGTATTGGATAGACCCATACAATAACGGTCATAGTTATATCCTATCTTTTTTTTCGCTTCTTCAGCAATAGTAAATTTTTTTTTTGAATTATGGATACAACAATCCAAATATTTTTAGTATTTAAAGAATCTTCTTTCAGAATCTTACTTTGAAATTTCTTGAACTTTCTCTCAGGGTCTTCAGGGTCTTTGTGATAAGTTGAAGTGCCTGTGGTTGTACTTCTCCTTTATGTAATGCATGGTTAATTATTGCTGATGGCATCATCCTGTCTTATGAAGGACTCGTATCGCATTTGTGTATTATACAAATCGGGTAATAGTCAGTGGGCATTACAAACAAAGGCTATACTTGACCGATTGCAGCTATTACTTGCTGAAAGGTCTCAGCATTACCAAAATCGGATTCAACCAAGTGCTCAGTATCTTGGTAATTTGCTTGGACATCCAAAATGGACGGTATGTTAGTTAACTTAGCTTTTCGAAAATAATACAGAACTAGAGATTGGTTTTGGATCATACAAATTCTTATGTTAAATTCTGCTTCTGATGCCTTTCTTCCATATCAGATTGATATTTTTACAGAGGAGTTGATAAGATCGGGATGTTCTGCTATTATGTCAATCCTCATTAACCATTTTGACCCCATTCTTAGGAAAATTGCGAATTTAAGCTGGAAAGAATGTGATGTACATGTTATTGTATGTATAATAGACTGGACTCAATCTATGGTTACTGACTCTTCTTCAAACCCTAACATCACGGCATCATAATGCTATTATTTGTTTATAAACTGATATCACAACTTTCTTTTAAAATTCTTCTCCTAATCCTGGTTTGTACGTAAATTCTTTTTTTGGTAGCTGGCAGGTTATAAGTGCAGTGGAAGTGTCTGGCTTTGTGACATTCGTCAATGAATTGATAACAGCTCAAGATAAAGTTTATCGAAGGCCCACTATTATTATTGCATAAAAAATAACTGGTGATGAAGAAATTCCAGGAGGAGCGGTAGCAGTGCTAACAACTGCTATGCCAGATGTTCTTTCCCATAATTTCAATTAGAGCCAGAAATAACAAGGCATGTACAACATTTCACTATATCTTGTTTCTAATGATGATTCTATGACCATATATTGTTGCAGGAAAAATGGAACTAACTGTTTTGTCATGGAAGCAAAAAATCTAACAAAGGACATAAGTCGGTTGTTGCAGATATGTTTTGCCACGTGCTTTGATCAAAATATTTTCCGGGATCTCATGTTAAAGGAAGGAAAAGCAATAGCAATAAAACTGAAATCAAACAATTTGGTTGTAAGGTAGAAATTCAAATGTACTTGATTATGTTAGTTGTGAAAATTTAGCGAACTTAGTAACCCTCATTTTGTGTTTGTAGGGAGACTAATAGCTCTAGTCTATCTCATACCTCCATTGTTTCATTCTCTATTCCTCGAGGAGTGACTTTTAAAAAGAAGACTCTCTGTGGTAAATATGCTGCTTCAGTTGGGGAGTTTACCACTGAAATGGCATGATTTTGCAGATCTATTAATTGTTTCTTTGCTAGAACATAGTATCTTCTTTACATTCATACTTTACACAAGGACACGCGTCTTCTGGATACTGATGGTTAATTTGCAATTCACCGACTAGTCATTGATGCATTATAAGAATGTAGCACTATCAATTGATTCGTTTACTCTTCAAAATAATTTTATTCTCAATCATAGATACTGTTAGTATTTTAAGAAGGATAGGAAAGATAGTTTGATGTTTAGTAGTGAGATTTGTGTAGAAAATAGTTTTTAGAAAGAGGTGGACAAATAGGAGAAGGTTTGTATGAGGGAAGATAGTAATTGATGTTAGAAGTGTTACAAGATATGTAGGAGCTTGTATTAGATTTTCCACACATACAAATACTCCCTTCATGCCTATTTATAGGCTTTACTTACAAGATTCTAGAATTTTCTACTATTTTCATTAGTACACATATGTTTTCTACATAATTCTAGAAGTTTTACATAATTCTATATTTTCTTAATTCTAGAATCATCTATCTTCTACTTTCAAACATTTCTAGAATCTTCTAAGGATTCTAGATATTACTCATATATAATTCCTAATTCTAGTAACATCTAAGATTTTATATTCTAGATCTTTCTAGAATTTGTATCATCTTTCAACACTCCTCCTTGATGCAAATTCTTGTAACTCCAAGCATGAAACGTAATTGTTCAAACTTGGCTCTTGGTAGTGCCTTGGTAAATATGTCTGCAATTTGATCTTCTGTAGTGCAGTACTCAAGTTGAATTTGTTTAGTCGCTTCAGCCTCTCTGATGAAGTGATATTTAATAGCTATATGTTTTGTTCTTTGATGATGAACAGGATTTTTCGTCATTGCTATTGCTGATTTGTTGTCGCAATAAATAGTAGTTGGTCCATCTTGTGGTTCGCCCATTTCTTCAAGTATTCTTCGTAGCCATATTGCTTGACTTGTAGTTTCAGCAGCAGCTATGTATTCTGCTTCAGCTGTTGATTGTGCCACAGTTGCTTGCTTCTTTGATGCCCATGAGAAAAAACCCGATCCAAGTGAGAAGGCGTATCCTGACGTACTCTTCATGTCGTCTATTGATCCTGCCCAATCACTGTCAGTGTAGCAAATCATCCTTGAGTTGGTCATGGTCTTGTACCATATACCAAACTCTCTTGTGCCTTGCAGATACCTTAAAATCCTTTTTCCTGCTCCATAGTGAATCTGACTTGGCTTTTGCATGAATCTTGACAGAAGACTTGTAGCATACATAATGTCTGGTCGTGTAGCTGTGAGATATAGAAGGCTTCCGATCAAACTCCTGTATCGTGATACGTCTACTTCTGGTGCTCCATCATCTTTCTTTAGCTTTTCGTTTACCACCAAAGGAGTAGTGACAAGTTTACATCCGTACATCTTGAATCTCTTTAGTAGAGCTTCAGTATATTTCTTCTGAGAGATAAATATTCCTTCTTTTTGTTGTATCACCTCTATCCCGAGGAAGTAGTTCATCAAGCCAAGATCAGTCATTTCGAATGTTTTCATCATATCTTCTTTGAATTCTTTCATCATTTCCTTATTGTTTCCTGTATAGATGAGATCATCAACATATAAGGAGACAATGAGATTATACTGACCTTGTGTCTTGATATAAAGTGTTGGCTCACTCTTGCTCCTCCTAAATCCTTGATCGATAAAATATTTATCAATCTTACTATACCATGCTCGAGGAGCTTGCTTCAGGCCATATAGAGCTTTTCTTAGTCTTAGTACTTTTCCTTCGTGGCCTTTGTTGATGAATCCTTGTGGTTGCTCAACATAGATCTCTTCTTCTAGTGTTCCATTGAGAAAGGCAGATTTGACATCCAGTTGATGGATGTTCCAACCTTTTTGTGCAGCAAGGGCTATTAAAGCTCTAATTGTATCTAGGCGAGCAACTGGAGCAAAAGTCTCATTGTAGTCGATCCCAGGTTGTTGTGAGTATCCTTTTGCGACCAATCTTGCCTTATATTTTTGTATGGTTCCATCAGGGTTGAGCTTAGTTTTATATATCCATTTTACTCCAATGATATATTTTCCGTGAGGACAGTCCACAAGCTCCCAAGTATTATTCTTCTCAATCATTTTGATTTCTTCTTCCATGGCCTTGACCCATACTTCTTGCTTTGAAGCTTCTTCATAGCAGGAAGGCTCAATGATGGCCATGTTACAAGTTTCATATATATCTACCAAAGATCTTACACGTCTTGGTGTAGACTCTGGTGAAGTATATTCTTCTTCTTCTTGTGGAGGTGGAGAAAGCGTACCTGGATCTCCTGTTTCTTCTTCAAGTTGTTGTACTGGAACCAGGATGTTGCTTCTAACAACTTTTTCTTCTTCCCAATTCCAAAAAGCATTTTCGTCAACCTCAACATCTCGACTGATGATGAGTTTCTTTGTTTGTAGGTTGTAGACTCGATAGCCTTTTGACTGTTGGCTGTATCCCAAGAATATTCCTCTTATAGTTTTGTCTTCAAGCTTATGCCTCCTCTGATCAGGAACATGTATGTAGCAAATTGATCCAAATATTCGTAGGTGTTTAGCTGATGGCTTTCTTCCACTCCAAGATTCAATAGGAGTCTTGTTTTGGACTACCTTAGTTGGACATCTATTGAGTATATATACAGCAGTGTAAACTGCTTCTGCCCAAAATGTATTTGGCAAGCCTTTCTCCTTCAACATTGATCTTGCCATCTCCATGACAGTGCGATTTTTTCTCTCTGAGACACCATTCTGTTGTGGAGAATATGCGACTGTAAGTTGTCGCTCAATACCTTCATCCTCACAGAATTTATCAAATTCGTGGGAGGTGTACTCTTTGCCTTGATCGCTCCTGAGAACCTTTATCTGTTTTCCGCTTTGCTTTTCGACAAGGGCCTTAAATTTCTTGAATATTCTAAAGACTTCTGATTTTGCTTTGATGAAGTAGATCCAAGTCATTCTAGAAAAATCATCAATGAAGAGAATGAAGTACCTGTTGTTATTAAGCGATGGAGTCCTCATTGGTCCGCAAATATCTGTGTGGATTAACTCCAACAAGTCTTTTGCTCTCCAAGTATTTCCCGTAGAAAATGGTAATCTGTGTTGCTTTCCCAGAAGACATCCTTCACAAGCTTCACTACTCTCCTTAAGGCTTGGTAGATCTCTCATCATGCCTTTTTGATGTAGTAGCTTTAAGGCATGAGTATTGAAGTGACCAAATCTACGATGCCATAGCCACGAGTCATCAACTTCTACTTTCATGGCAATGTTAGTTCCTCGATTGAAGCTTATAGGAAAACTTCTATTTCTCTTTTCCATTTTTACTTGGCCAATCTCTAGATTTTTCTTATCGTAGATAGTGCATGTATCTCTTTCAAAGTGGAGAGTATATCCTTTCTCCATCATTTGACCAATACTTAAGAGATTTTCTTTAAGATTGGGAACTAGTAAAACATCATTGATAAGTCTCATACCTTTCTTGGTCTCCACCATAACACCTGCCTTTTCCTTTTGACTCTACCACGGTGCCATTTCCCAGTCGTACTTGAACTTTGATGGAGTTATCAATTTCTTTGAAGATGCTTGGATCATTCGCCATATGGTTACTACATCCGCTGTCCAAGTACCATCTTCCTTTTGATTCATTGTCAAAACATCCCGTAGCATAGAAGAGATGTTGTTCTCTCGTCCCGTTTTTCAGCAAAATTTGCTTGTTGATGATTTTTGTTGCGACACATTTTCTCTAGATGTCCAAATTTCTTACAGTATTGACATTGAGGTTTTCCTCGATGCCAACAATCTTTTTCCAAGTGACTTGTCTTTTTGCAAGTTCCACATGGAGGATATTTTCCTTGAATAGTCTTGGAAAAATTTCTAGAATTTTCCTTATTCTTAGAAAGTTCTCTATTAATTTTATTTCCTCCATTTTGAGACCGTAATTTTAGTTTTGATTGAAAGGCATTTTCGACGGAGTCTTCTTCACGCCTTTTCAATCTTTGTTCATATGCTTCAAGAGAGCCTATTAGTTGTGTCACTGATAATGTAGATAAATCTTTTGTTTGTTCAATTGCAGTTGCAATTGCATCATATTTTTGGGGAATAGAAATTAGAATTTTCTCAACAATTTTCTTGTCAAGAATATTTTCCCCATAGGCTCTCATCTGACTAACTATTTCTTTTATTTTAGAATAGTAGTCTTTTATGGTCTCAGATTCATTCATTCTTATTAACTCAAATTCTCTTCTTAGAGAATGGAGTTTAATATTGTGTACCTCATCACTTCCTTGAAACTCCTCCTGAATTGTATTCCAAGCTTCCTTTGCACTTGTGGCACCCATTATTCTTGGAAAAATAGTGTCATCAACCGCTTGCTGAAGAGTGAATAATGCCCTTGAATCCTTCTGTTTGTTTTCCTTCGACTCCTTCCTCCGGGCAGCTGTAAGAGTTGAGATGTCTTCCGGAATAGTGAACCCATCTTCAATGACATCCCAAAGATCTTGAGAACAAAAAAATGTCCTCATTTTGACTCTCCAAAAATCATAATTTTCTCCCTTAAAAATAGGAACTGGAATGGATGATGTTTGGTTGGTAGTGGCCATAGGTTGAAAATTTTCTTTTGGAAGTAATGTGTAGTGGAATATGGTTTTTTAAGGTAGTAAAAAATTTTCTCTACGCCCAGTAGGTGACCGAACGTAGCTCTGGTACCACTCTTAGTATTTTAAGAAGGATAGGAAAGATAGTTTGATGTTTAGTAGTGAGATTTGTGTAGAAAATAGTTTTTAGAAAGAGGTGGACAAATAGGAGAAGGTTTGTATGAGGGAAGATAGTAATTGATGTTAGAAGTGTTACAAGATATGTAGGAGCTTGTATTAGATTTTCCACACATACAAATACTCCCTTCATGCCTATTTATAGGCTTTACTTACAAGATTCTAGAATTTTCTACTATTTTCATTAGTACACATATGTTTTCTACATAATTCTAGAAGTTTTACATAATTCTATATTTTCTTAATTCTAGAATCATCTATCTTCTACTTTCAAACATTTCTAGAATCTTCTAAGGATTCTAGATATTACTCATATATAATTCCTAATTCTAGTAACATCTAAGATTTTATATTCTAGATCTTTCTAGAATTTGTATCATCTTTCAACAGATACCGGCCTCTTTGATAGTGATCCTATTTTCTAAATTTTCTGTGTACTCTTGGAAGTTGTGTTTTACAACAAAGATGATTAAAGTCGGAACGCTCCTATACAAACTTCTATTCAAGTCTTAGAGTACTCCCAGTTATGTAGTCTATCTTGGGAATATTTCTAGTACATGTGGAATTTGAGTTTTTCTCTATATTGTCTGGACAATGCTACCACAGTAATTGCCTACTCTTCTATAATCTATAGACCCAGTGGCTAATACCAATGATTTTGGGAGAAAGACAAATAATATTATTAATAAATAATAGATAGATATGAAAAGTTGAGAAAATATAAAATATTTTTTTATTTAATGTATTTATTGGTTTGATTTAATATTTGTAAGAAAAAATTAAATAAGAGGTCAAAATTGTAAATAGATATAAAGATATATTCAATAATAATTAAGTTTGGGGAAGTTAAAATCATTAATATAAAAAATTTAAGAGGACTGTGGTACTTTCACCTCCCAATAAGCTCGCCACTGTATACACCCTACCTATGGATAGACTGCACTGCTTTTTGTACACCATGGTCACTGTAAAAAATGCATATGATGTGAGAATTGTGTTACCACCAGCTCCCACTGGTTCTTTGTCACTAGACCAGTACACTGCTATTGTAGTGTAATTGCCTACCTACCATCACATTTCCTTTTCATTACCAAAACAACTTTCTTGTCTATTTAGATAGTTAGACATGTTTCTTGTTTTGAAATAGTTGATATGTAATGAAATAATTATTTTTTTCTGTTTTAATCAAATGATGATATTAAAAGAGAACTGTCACCAAGTAACTGACAATCAATGAAATTTTATACTTCAATATATGCGCAAGGAAGGGAAATTGCTTGTATTCTATGTTACAGATTTTAAAGAAGTCAGAAAGTTATTACAACGCATTATGCACTAATTGATTCCATTCACCTCTGTCTTATATAGGTTGGTGCAAAATCATGCAATATTCAACTTTTATCTTCAAGGGTACCAACATGGATTAAGATCCCAATGTCAGTTGCCCTAACATTTGGAGCCTTCGAGACTGCTTTGCTAGATAAAGTTAACAAGGTCAGGTCTTGTAGTTATTGTTGATTTCCTTGTGACAGTAGCACTCATTCAGTTTTTCATCCATACAACATTGACCTTGTAAACTCTCTAGTCTCTACTAGTGTGGATTTGAGTAATACAACATGGACATACCAGTTAGTTATCTTTTATGATCATCTTTTTACCAATTTTAACCTATTGTTGAAATTTTCATGAAAGAGAAAACTTCAACTTTTTGTGATGATGATTATACTTATTTTGTTACAAAAATTGATTGAACTTGCCTGCTTAATATCACGCACATCCCTTAAGAATTTGTGATTCAGATGTGTACTGAGTTTCTCTTCCTACTTTCAATAGTCATAACTCAGAGGAGCATCTGACTTAATTTGAAAGAAGGGTTAGAGAAGTTTTCATTCACTTGCAGGATATAGCAAATAAGGTTGCTTCTTTATGCAAATGAGTACATAGTGGCGACCTTTTAAGACTTACAGCAGTACAAGAAGCCATTCTGCAAATGGATGTTCCACCATCTATGGTAATTTAAAATTATAATGAGATCATGTTAATGATTTATTACATTATGGTAACCGGTATAAAGTTCATACACTATCTACTTTCTTCTTTAATATCTACCTATTTTGTTTTTCTATGCTAAATAATAATACTGAAAATGGCAAGATCATCACTAAATTTTGGTACTCTACATGTGTTGGGAAATCCAAGTGTGAGTCTAAGTCCCACATTGAGTAAGAATAAGAAAGTTGAGTAACATATAAGGAAGAAAGACTCATGACCTAATGTCTTCAGATTTTGTGTTGAAGGTGGTCTCAATCTCTTGTGTGGATTGGACTTATGTCTCATTGATGTTATCTCTCCTGATGAATTCTCCCTCAAAAGACCCAACAACATGATCATCTTTATAAGGATTTCAAGTGGTCATAAGATCACATGTTTTGCAAGATCATGCTTTATTTTCATCATTTTCACATTGTAATTTAACTCATTTTTCTATTTTTGTTCTAAAATTTTGCAAGACATGTGAGCTTGAGCACAAAATTAGAAGTTCCAAGCTACCATGGCCTGTTGATGAAGGTAATGAGAGGTGGAGTTATGCATGGCAAGCAATAAAGAAGGTACAAATTTGTCATCATATACAATCAAATAACTTTAGTTTTTCAAGGGAAAACACGCAATTATATTTCTTTCGTTTTAGTTATGGATAAAACTTAGATGCAATCTCTTGGTGCCCTTCTTCAATCAAAATTTGACTTTCATCTAAATGACTTATGTAGGGATTTCATGCAAACATTTATTGTGCGGATTACCAAGGTGAAACTCCATTTTGGATCGAGACACCACCAAAAGCACCTAAAAAATTGCATCCAAGTTTTATCCTTTGATTATATGATGTTGGTGTTTCGATTTTCACTTTATGCTCATTTAACATTTTTCATCTCATTTAATTTTGGAATATGCATAAAGCTTTGACTTTATCAAATTTCTTATATTCAGTGAAGCTAGAGTATAAGGGCTATGATATATATCTAGAATTAGAAAAAAGGACTGCAAATTTTAAATACTTGTAATGATGACACATCGTGACCATGATAAGACAAAGAAACACTAGGTTTTGTGATTTTATTTTGTAGGTCTGGGCTTCAAAGTGGAACGAACGAGCTTTTCTCAGTTGCCAAAAGGCCAAGTTGAATCATGAAAATATATGCATGGCTGTATTGATTCAAGAAGTTATTTGTGGTGATTATGCCTTTGTTATTCATACAAAAAATCCCTTGTCAGGGGATGCTACAGAGATATATGCTGAGGTAAATCTTTTGTTCTTGATTTGTTCACAATTTATAAGATAACACTTCACATTGTCTTACCTTGTAAAAACAGATAGTGAAAGGGTTGGGAGATTTTGTAATGCTCTGGTGAGTATTTTACTCTACCTGATGCATTTTGTTAGGTTTTGATGAGTACTTACCCTCATCCGGTACAAACCTTATTTTATAAGGCTCTGGTGGGTACCTACCCCCACCTGGTACGAATCTGCATTTTTGCTAGATTCTGATGAGTACCTACCCTCATCCGGTACAAACCTTATTTTATAAGGCTCTGGTGGGTACCTACCCCCACCTGTCGCCGCCGTCCAGTGGCGGATCTTCTTGGGAGCTGAGGGGGGCCGTGGCCCCCCCAAAGTTTTGTAACTCCCATGTAATTAATGATTTTGGCCCCCCCAAACATAATGAGTATTTAATATATTTACATGTAGATTTACAATTTTATCCTCCAGCCCCTCCTTAGTTTTATAACTTTCATATAATTTATGTTTTTGTTTCCCTCAAACTTAATGATAATTTAATATATTTAAGTATATATCTACAATTTTATCTTTTCAACCTTTCATATTCTTTTTTTATATTTATTTATTATTTATTATTTATTAATAATATATTATTTGGCCCCCCAAGATCAATGGTCAAGATCCGCCACTGTCGCCGTCCGTTCCGACGTCTAGGGACATCTCGAACGTTTATGCGAGCGGTCGCGAAAAGATGGTTTAGACTCACGTTTTATGTTAAAATATGTTCATTGCTTCCGAGGTGCTCAACAACTGAACTATCCTCTAATAAAAGCAAGGTTTTCGAAAAGGAGTTCTTATGGAGTCGCCACCAATGTTTTGACCGTAAACATTGGAAAAGGATAAAAAGGCGTTGATTTTAATAAAAACCAAACTTGGCCATTATAACCAGAGTTGGGTAAGGGAGTTAGTTACGTGTGGGGAAGGTGTTAGCACCCCCACAATGCCCCTTTCGGGTTCCCTATGACGGATTCATTCATTAAGTAAAGATTATGAGAAATTACGCTATTACCCTATTTTATTGCATAATATTAAAATTGACTATCTGCATGATTTTATTTTATATTGCATACATAAAGCAATAAATAAAGCAATTACAAATCTTGAATCGTGAGGATGCGTTTTGGTAATCTCCCGCTCTACAAAGACTCTCCTCCCCGAATACAATATCGATTCGACTAAATTTTAAAGAAGAATCGAATGCTGGAATACAATTCCTTAACCGATTGTTACCTTTTTAAGGCAATCAGAGAGTTCATTCGAAGTAGGGAGAGAAGACAAGTGTTTGGAGTTGTCTGGACTGTGAAAAACTGGCAAATGAGCCTCCTATTTATAGTTTTCGCAGCCTGGCAGCTTGGGACGGCCGTCTGGAGCTTGGAAATCAGGGATGGGCGTCTGGGGAAGTCGGGACGACCGTCTGGGATTTGGGACGGCCGTCCCAAGCACCAAAACCAGTTGGGACGGCCGTCTGGAACTTGGGACGGCCGTCTGGACATGTGGGACGGCCGTCCCAACTTCTGGGACGACCATCTCAAATGTTTTTGCCAGATTTTGTGTTCTGGGACCCCCGGGAAGCTTTCCTTCCTTTATTCGGACGTCGATTGATGCCGATAGACGTCCATTGAAGCTTTATCTTCATATAGGAAGTCTTCTTGGCCTTTATTGAGATGTCGGACGAGCTTTATCTTGTTATAGGAAGTCTCCTTAGCCTTTATTGAGAGGCCGGACAAAATTAGGGGTCTACAACTGCCCTCCCTTCACCTGCCTGACTAATTGTTGGCCTAATATGCCGACAAAGTTAGTTGGTAGGGGAAGGAGTTAACCCCTTTTGCCCGGTTATCCTTCAGATGCTCCTTCGCTTGAAGATCCTCCGGATGATAAATATTTCTGATAGGTACCAACCCCTATCTGGTTTGAGCCTTCTTTTATAAGGCTTTGGTGAGTACTTACCCTCACCGAGTATGAGTCTACATTTCACTAGACTCTTGTGGGTACCTACCCCCACTAGGTATGAATCTGCTCTTTGCTAGATTCTGAACCATATTCCATAAGGTTCTTGTGGGTACCTACCCCCACTTGGTATGAACCTTGTTCTGCAAGGCTTTGGTGAGTACCTACCCTCACCTGGTACGAGTTCGCATTTTGCTAAACTCTTGTGGGTACTTACTTCCGAGGTGCTAACACTTGAACTATCCTCTAATAGAAGCAAGGTATTTGCAACCCGTTTTTGTAATGCTCTGGTGAGTATTTTACTCTACCTGATGCATTTTGCTAGGTTTTGATGAGTACCTACCCTCATCCGGTACAAACCTTATTTTATAAGGCTCTGGTGGGTACCTACCCCCACCTGGTACGAATCTGCATTTTTTCTATGTAGACCCCAAATCTTGCCCGACCTCCAAATAAAGAGTAGAAGACCTCCTATTCGAAGATGGATGAAGCCTAACAAGCCACTAGGAGAGACTATTAGGCCCCATACTAGGATAAGAGGGATTTTTGACACGAAAATAAGGTTTCTCGCCTTTTTGGGACGAGATCGTCGTCTCGAAATCGAAACCGCCGTCTCGCCTCATGCAAGTGGCGAGACCGCCGTCTCGTTTGGCGAGACGGCGGTCTCGCCACCTGCAAATGGCGAGACGGCGGTCTCGCTTTCTAGGATGACGTTCTCGCCACCTGCGAAGGGCGAGACGGCGGTCTCGCCACTTTGGCAAGGTGAGACGGCGGTCCCGATTGTCGGGACGGTGGTCTCGACCCTGTCAGACGAGACGGCGGTCTCGACCTGTCAGGCGCGAAAATCTATAAATAGGGGGCGTCATTCCCTCATTTACACATACCCAGAGTTTCTCCTCCTTCTCTCTAGAAATGACCTAAGTTTCTCTCTCTAGAATCCCTCCGACACATTTCCGGAGTTTTTGAGTGCTTCTGTGAGTGTTTTTTGGCGTTTCGAGAAGTTCCTGATGCTGTGTAGAGTGAGGGGCTGCCACAAAGCACCCTTTTTTTAAAAGAATTAATATAAAAGCGTGCTTCGAAGGTTTATATTCTCCCTCTCTGCTTTTATCGCTTTAATTTTAAATTATGCAATAGATACTAGGGCCATGTAGTCGTAATTTTAAATTCCGCAGAATAAAAGGGTAAAAGCATAATTTTCATCAGTTTAAATATTTTAATAGCTGACCTGTCATAGGGAACCCGAAAGGGGCGTCGTAAAGGAACTAACACTTCCTTTACACGTAACTAACTCCCTTACCCAACTCTGGTTCTAACGACCAAAGTTGGTTTTTCGAAAACCAACGCCTTTTTCCTTTTCCGATGTTTCCGGTAAAAACATCGGTGGCGACTCCACAGAACCTGTCAAAACTAGCTTTTGGATTAGCCCGGTTATCGGACAATCCAAGAGCGCCTTTTCGAAAACCTCGCCCCTAGGTTCAGCCTGGTTATCGGACAACCTAAAGACATTGTAATCACCAATAGAAAACGCGAAAATCAAGAGGGTCAAAACCATCGTGTCGCTCCGACCGCCTCTTTTTGACGGCGGCAACAGATGACGACTCCACTGGGGAAGCCTCGAGAGTTGATCCCATTTAGTGATGGGTCGGCTTAAAAAATAAATAAACCAAGAAAATAATGCTTTTGCCCTTACCTTGTATTATAACATGTTTTACGGTTTGACTTTAAATAACTGTTTTTTGTTTATACTTACGCAATTGTTTGAAATACAAACTGTACACAAACCCTTGCACACAACAGTTCCCTCTATACCCGGAGGCAAGTGAGAAATCCATAGGGAGTGGGTGGCAGGTACGGTTCGCTGTAGTGATGGCCTTGTGCCCACCGGTGTGATCGGAAACCACCACTCAAGGTGATAACCTTCCTCTTTTGGCAACAAGACTGACTATGACCTTAGTGCTAAGCATGGTCGGAAGGCTGGAGAGTGGGGACCCTATAATGGGGGCACCTTGGGGGCCTTAGCCTGGTGAGAACAGTTAGAACCTACCCTCGCCAATGCACTTTTCTGCAGGAAAACCCTACCTCGTGATAAAAACGAATTCTCGCCTGTTCGTGGATGATCGAATTGTGTGTGCATATGTTTGCTGCATTTGTTTGTTGCATAACATAAACAAACAACAGAACAAAAACCACAAAAATACTTTCGCAAATAAACGCCCTTATCTCGGACAGTCTGCCTTTTAACTAGCCTGGTTTCAGGTTCTTTGTAAGCTAAGTAGCACGCAGTTCCGACAGAAGAGATAAGGGACGCTAACTATTCTTTCACATAAAGCCACATTTTATCTCGGACAGTTTGCCTTTTAGCTAGCCTGGTTTCAGGTTCTTTGCAAGCTAAGTAGCCACACAGTTCGACAGTAAGAGATAAAAAGCTATAAAATAAACAAATAAACATCAAATAAAAATAAAATACTAAATAAAATCCATTTCCAAAACCATAAATAGGACCTGCTCCGAAAATATTACGCCCATAAAACATGATAAATAGGAAAATAAACACTCACATTCATTCAAATAAGCATCATTTTCATAAGACATGCATTTTGGTTTTAGAAAATGGAGGGGACTAGTAGACAGCTAAAGAAGGTGGATATTCCCCGTTACCATACCGAGAAGTTGGAATGGCTTAGCGCGCAATGCCACCAGAGGTCCGCGTCGATTTTGAAAAATCCTATGGACGGATTTTAGACCTACTGAAGATCTGTGTCGATCAGGTGTTCCTCAAGGTATTAATCCATTTCTGGAACTCCAATCTGCGATGCTTCGAATTTCCGCAGTTCGACATGGTGCCCACCTTAGAAGAGTATGAGACTATGTTGAAATGACTCAAATCAGTCGGGGTCCATATCCGCCATGAGGCATACACTCCTGCAGCACCGGTCGCTGCCCTCATCCAACTACCTTTCCGGCAGAGTACCCTGATAGGAAAAGGGAACACCCGAGGATGGAAAGTATCAA